CGGGGAGAAGCCCGCATGGCAGGGTGAACGGTTCTAGCTAGGTGGGTTTAGGGTTTAGGGTTGATAGACTCGTTCCAGGCTGCACTCGTGGCAGCAGGGACTGCGAGGCTGCTGTAACGGAAGCGTGACGTTGCTAGCCAGTTGCAAAAAAGGGTTGATAGACCTCGTTCAAAAAAGGGCTTATCAAGCCTGTGTAAAAAGGGCTTCTGTAGGCGCAGACATTCAGGCGATTGCACAAGCCCTGATGCAAAAAAGGGCGTGGGAGGCCAAAATTTGACATTCCCCAGAACCAACACATACACGTCCAACCGTCCTCGGCCGAGGCCTCCAAGCCTTCCCCAGAGCAATCCGCTGGCCTCTGCCCGGTTGCTGGCGCTGAAGCAGGCCTGTCCAGCATGTAGGGTTTTGGGTTTCAAGGAAGGTGCTATATGGGCCGGAATCATTTTTTCTTTTCTTTGGTGTCACTCTCTCACTTATGTCCCTATGCCCTGTAGTGAGTGCGGCTGTTCTCCTCTCTCCTTTCATCTTTCTCACTCTCACTGTGAATCTAATTCTCGCTCTCTCACGCTCGCCCTCGCTCGATTCGTTTGTCTCTCATTTTCCAGGCAGAGGCGCAGCTGGAGCAGCAGGAGGCACCGGGGAGGTCCCAGGGCTTCGGTCAATGCGGGTATGAGCCCACAGGCTGGAACGGAGGTGGCTGCCGTTGCTCGTGCAGCTTCCCCCCCAAAGCAAGGCAAATGCACGTTGCCGTTGTGCAGACATGGCCCCGCAACATCCTGAAGTTTGGAAAAGAGTAGACTAAACTCCGAACTCCGAAGCTCGCCTGCAACCGCTGCAAGGCCAGCATCCATCAAGAGGTGGGGCAGGGGGTTGGTTCCTAATAGTCACTCTTGTCGAGTTGCGCAGCAGGCTTGTCTGCTGGTCTTGTTTTGTTCTGGCGGCCTGAGTCTCGTATGCAAGCTTCTGTGGTCTGTGGACACCAATCGATGGGGACTCCTGTTGTAGGTGCTGCAGCTTCGCAGAGAGGAGCAGCTTACCGAGCAGGCTGGCAGCTCCTCGGGAGTTTGAGACCATGACCCTGTGGCCCAACGCATAGATCACATTCGTTTAGACCCGTTAAAGAAGACATCGAGAATCCTCATATTCAAGTTTCCGAGCCCGCGACCTCCGCGGTAATGGAGACAGCAGCTTTTTTCTGGTGCTTTGGCATGCTTGTTGGTCTTCGACGGGGTTGCGGAGCATGTGCACGGCCCAGGTGTATTGTTCAATTCAATATGCATCAGGAACCCTGGAACGCAGACTGCATGCCCGCAACTTGGATCCTGAATGTAAGGATCTTCCGAACATGGAAAACCCCCCCTCCGCCCCCAAGTAGCCGTGGCAGGAGGCTCCAATGCCGTTCGTCGCGACGCCAGCCGTCCAGGCGGTCGGATTTTGTTTGTCAGCTTGTACTAGTGAATGACGATAGCTAGCATGATGACGTGCTGCTGCTCCTACTGCACCGCCCACACCTTCCCCAGGCCCACCGCCCCGACCAATCCACCCCCTCCGCCACCCTGCCACTGCCACAGCTGCCTTGGAAGCATCATGGTGTAGGACGTCAGCTGCGAGGACTGTGGATTCATGTCGAGCGACGGCTTTCGTTTGTGTTTATAATTCGCTCTGTTGAAACGAGATACCTCTTTGTGGTATTTTGTTCGTCGGAACTCGCTATAAGAGGGGAACGAGATTGGGGCACCGCATAAAACGAGATCAAGTACATGTATGACACGATGCAGTCCTATCTGAAGTTGAAGCCGAAAGTAATTTTTGTGCTGCATGATTCTGTCATTCACACTGCTTTTTGAGGGATTGCTGGTACTTTTGGGGTTTGACATAGATGTCTGGAGTGGTTTCGATTTAGTGTTCTGTTATAGGCACATCTTTTTATCTGTTCTGTCATAGACCATTCATTGCGAGTGAGTGCTTGTAGTTCGTCATAGGCAAGTCTTTCCCACGGCGCGATGTAGAGTCACGGGTGTGATATAGTCGGATCGAAACGAGATAGGAAACGAGATC